GCAGTTGGATACTGCCTTCCACTTCTCATTGGTATTTTTGATGTGTCTCAAATGTCTTTCATTACTCACTACCATTTTTATATTCCTGATGACAGTGGAGAGGGTCTACTGTACAAAGGATGAAATATACATTTTCAGCATTAATCAAGACAGGTCCAAGTCCTGATAAACTGGCAAATGTTCAGCGGACCAACCGAGTAATCAAGACACGTGGCTTTCCTAGAAATAATCAATAACGTTACTGGATATTGCAGAAGAGACAATTATCCTTTGCCTGACAGTAGACAGGAACATTCTAAAGGATGGTGGATGTCTGTAATGCCTCTAGTTTTTTCATCCAGTAGACCTGTCCACTCTGATAACCATATAACATCTAGCTATTACTTATGATCCAGAGATTCCCCAAACCTACTCATTTAAGTTGCCCTGGACTGTCCACCCAGATTCCCTACCTTCTCTCCTAGTTCTTTCTCCATCCTACACTAAACTCTGCTATATTAGTTCATTTTCATGCTGCTAATAAAGACATACCCAAGACTGGGTAATTTATAAAGGAAAGAGGTTTAATGGACTCACAGTTTGGGGAGGCCTCATGATCATGGCAGAAGGTAAAGGAGAAGCAAAGGTACATCTTATACGGCAGGGGGCAAAGGAGCTTGTGCAGGGGAACTCCAATTTATGAAACCATCAGATCTCATGAGACTTATTCACTACCACAAGAACAGTATGGGGGAAACTGCCCCTGAGATTCAATTATCTCCACCTGGCCTTGCCCTTGACACTTGGGGATTATGACAATTCAAGGTGAGATTTGGGTGGGGACACACCCAAACCTCATCATCTGCCTTCAGAATTGTGACTACCAGCATGCTCTGGGCACTCCAGACTTCGTTTTGTTAACACATGTGGTCTCTTTCATAAACCCTGAAAATTGCTTTCTCCCTGGATCCTCATCCCATACTAGGTGGGAGTGTCTCATCTGACCCCATTCCCTGTCACCTGGTCACTCTAATTGAATCTAATTTGAGAAGCACTTAAATTAAGCATTTTGGTTTATAAAATAAAATATGTGCATCTACAATATTTACATGCATTAATTTGTAAGAATATGAATGGGTAAACATTTGGGGGATGAAACATTTAAACTATTTATACAAATTTAAAATCTCCACACACTACCCACTTTGACCTAATTTCCACTTAGCTATCAGAACAATAGACTGTAGCTCAATATTTTACATTTGGGATATTTCAGTTCTATAAGTTATAGCAATAAACAGGTAAACTAATTATGTGCCCATTGGAAAGAGATGGCTAAATTAATCATGGCACATATATGCTACTGGATAGTTACAAAGGTGAAGTACATCTATGTGTATTCTCATAAAAAGATCCTGCATTCATGTCATGAAGCAAGCCACATGGCAAAATAATATGCAACTCACTAGCCATTCTGATTAAAAGTTACAATACGTTTTTGTAGCACCTTTATGTATGAGAAAACCTAGCATTCGTTTTAAAATGACATACCCTATTTATTGTGATTATCTCTGAGGATGGGCCTGAATTATAAGGCAATGTCATACAAGTAGAAATTGTGACTTATCTGTATGGTTAGAATTTGTTTTTTCAGACAGAGTCATGCTCTGTTGCCCAGGCTAGAGTACAGTATGATAAAAGAAAAACTTCAGCTGAATTAAATTTACAGGAGTTTAACTGAGTAATGAATGGTTCACGAATTGGGCAGTCCCCAGAATCACAGCAAATTCACAGAGACTTCAGGGATGCCTCATGGTCAGAACAAATTTATAGACAAAAAGGTAAAGTGAGGTATGGGAATCGAAAGTAAGGTACAGAAACAAGGAGATTCGTTACAACTCAGCATTTGCCTCATTTTAAGGCAGTTTGAACATTCTGCAGTCTATGAGTGGTTGAAGTATGGCCACTGGGATTGGCCAACACTCAGTTTTTGTCACAGTTGCATACTACTAAGTTAGGTTTTCAATTTTAACTGACTATTATGCTAGGTTACATTTCATCCAGTAGGACTCAAATACAGAAGCACAGAGTCCTTTTCAGGCCATATTTAGTTTCTTTAACAAGTAGCATGATCTTGGCTCACTGCAACCTCTGCCTCTGAGATTCAAGCAATTCTCCTACTGTGTAACAAGCGCTTTCTAATACAGCATCATAATTATTTGTCAAAAGGACCCTGTAAATATCTGCCTCATGGACTTACCAGATTTCGCTCAAAAGCATAACTCTACGCTATTATTTTCAGTGACCACTATAATCAGAATATACTGAGAATTTTCTCATTACTTTTCATAAAGGTGAAGGAAATTTCTTTTTCCTCCTCTGAAGGTTTGAGTCTTTAATTCTGATGAAATAAATTGACAATGAACAGATTAACAGGACAAAAAAGGTCATAAAAATGTATTAAGGTGCAAGAGCACTGGTGTTACCCAAAATATGAAACTCAAAGAAGGGCCAGGTAACTGAAACTTTTATACCATATGGAAAGGGATGGGGCTTGCAACTCCTCGAAATTACATAAGGTTGAAGAGAAGCATGGTGAGCAAAGGCTTTCTTGTTATGTAGATCAAGTGTCCCGGATACCAGTCCTACAAAAGAATAGATGTATCCTGTGGCAAAAGTTTCTCTGTAAGAGATTTAGAAGTATCAGACCTTTGGCCTCCTTTTTCTGTGAGTGAATCTTTTTTAGAATCTTCTTAGGCAGACAAAGGGACCTCAGAGAAAGCCTATGTCAAGCATCCTGTTTGCCTTACTAATGTCGATTTTTCTGCAGGTGTAAATCTTCCCTAAGAAAGGACAGCCTTTCAGAGCTATTTTCAGAGCTATACAGCTCCTCTGACTAGCCATCTCAAAATATGTCAAAGAAACATATATTGGGGTTGCATATTTTGATTTCCCACGGGTGAACTGGCAAAACCGTGACCTAGGATTCTCTGCTATCTACCACCTGACTAAAAATGCCTGAACATCAACAGTGGTGCAGTTATGCACAGTGAAAGCCTAGATGTTTTTAAATTAATCAATTAATGTTATTCAATGGTATCATGTCTACCAAGAAGTTATATTCTACTGCCTAGTAGGACTCCAGAATTTTCAGGACTTGAGATACCATAGATGTTTGCATAGTTATTTTGATGATCTTTTCTCACGTGTTACTTACAGGAGAAAAGCTTCGGCTTTTAAGCACCAAGGTAAGCTCATTCACTGGTTTGTGTGGTCAGCAGACAGTGTCAAACAAGAAATCCCATTAAAATTCTACTGCAACTATCAGGGCGTTTTTCAAAATCCTGTTTCTTGGGGTTATAGCCCCAAAACTAGTAGATGCTTTGCCAAATAAGATTATATTCACTAGCTCATTTGCAAATCATTTTGACAATATGTTGCTGAATCTCAGCAAATTTTTTTCCATTCAGAAGTATATCCTTCAATAATGAGAGCGAGTTTTTTCTTTAGCTGATGCAACTCCTAGAATAGTTAATAAGGACCAAAACCTCACCTCTATCCAAACTACCTTTGTTTTCATTTATTTCACCCCCATCAAAAACATACACATTCTTTAGAGTACGTAATTAAAATATGTTGAAGATAACCTATTTTAAATATCCCTTAAATGGAGTGGTACTTGGTTCTCCTTGCCCAGGGTAATGACTACCAACCCAGTGGTTTTAGTGTGTGTCACCTCAAGAAAGTGTCACTGCTATCTCTCAAAAACTCAAGACAATGCATGTAACAAGACTTGGGAACTACGTTCAGTGACACAAGGACAAGAGCAGAACAATTTCCATTCCTTCCCTGGGTGATTTTTCTCTGGCTAAACCATGATCTCAAAGTGACTGTGATGAGGAGTTTTCCATACCGGGCTTTTGGGTCTCAACTCTGAGACAAACCATCTCGAGGTCTGATACCTGATCATCACTCTCTCAGCCTCATCTTTCACCATGCCAAATTATATTAAAATTACTACTCATTGAGCATTCTAATCTCTCAAAGCCCCAAAATTCTCTGCCTCAAGGCATCTATATTTGACAGTCTCATATGGATTCCCCCAATTCATCTATTAACTCCCTTTATTTGTCCTTTAGATATTAGACAATATCCTACCATCATCATAAGATTTCCATTCCTATAAGTTAGAATTATATGAAAAAGTCCTAGGCTTTGTTTATCCTAGCATTCCAGCGTTATTCTGATTATTACCAAAGAGAAAATGCTTAATTAATATTTGGGGAATAAAGGAGACAGTAAGCATGCTGTGCAATTTATGGAGATCTATTATTCAGATATTTCTAAGTTAAGCAAATTAATGCATATATCTTTTAATTTTATAAAACATAAAACTAAAAGGCATTCAGTAAGAAATATATTGATCATCTTTTATACCTTTTATTCCAAATATTTAAAAGCAAAGTTCATAGTAATGTTATGTCATGCTATACCAGAACACAATATAGATGGATGGTTTCCCAATCTGTTTTACAAAATTAACAAAATTCTTGCTACTAAATCTCATGAAAAAACATAAAACAGATGCTTAAAAGCAGAGTTCTTAGCAATGTCATGTCATCCTATATCAGGATACAATATAGATGGTTTCCCAATCTGTTTGACAAAATTAGCTAAACTTTTGCCACTAAACCTCATGAAAAGCATTAAATGGATTACCAATAGTACTCAAAACTTACAGATCTGGAAGCTACCTAAATGTCTATCAAAAGAAACAGCATCTGAATAATATATCCATTAAAAAAATAAAAGAATACATTAAGTAACACATACAAAATGGGGACGCAGATGATATATACTGTTTTTCCTCCAACCCCACCCTGGACCTGCATCCTTGAACACCAACTGCTTTCTGCAAATGATACATAAAACATCCATCCTTGACTTCACTAGATATGGGAGAAGCTACCAGACACAGCACTGGCACTCACAGTGGCTGTGGAACTAGAGTCAGCCCTGACTCAAATTTTGGCTCCAGCTCTTTCTTCTTCGTCTTTCAGAGCCTCCTCATACTGAGATGGGTAAGAATCTGGGTGAGTCCCATGAATTTTGGCCAAAAACTCTAGGACTTTCATCTTGCTGGTTTCAGCCTTGGCTCTTGGGCCGCACAGGAATTCATATTGTGCAGGATCACTGTTGGCCACCTGCTGGTACTCCAGGTACTTCTCCTTCACAAAATCTTTGGTGATGAGCTCCCTGGGCTCTCCAAAGATGAAGTGCTTCTTCCCAGAATATACTCCTGTCAAAACTCAGTACTTCCCAGACTTCCTCTTCAGTGGCACGGTTGCCCTTCATGAAGATCGCACCCAGGACACGTATCAGGAGGCCAGTCTTGGGCATACCCTTTTTACCACTCAGCATCCCGTCATAGGTGAGGTCCAGTTTGATGAAGAGGCCATAGCTACAGGTGGTGGGGTCCACCTCCTTCACATAAAGGCCTAAGATCATCTCTAGTCGCTTAGAAGCTCTCAGGAAGATCTCAGAGAAGTGGCTCTCATCATCTTTGATGATAATCTTCAACACATCTGCCTTTGATATTGGCTCTTTCATCTGATACTTTTGCAGCATGAAATTCACCAAAAAGCTACTTTCTGGTCGAGAGCATCTGCAGGCATATTCTCGGGGTCTGATGTGGCCTCCTCCTCTTCTTGGCTGCTGGAACCCTCATCAGATTCACTGGATGAGGTGGTTGTGATGGCAATGGAAGAGGAGCAAGAACTCTGAGGACCCTCAAGAGAACTCTCTGTCTTAGCAGTAGGAGCTTCCTTCAGATTGACAGGCACTAGAGGATGGGAGGAGGAGAGGAAGGTCTCCTCCATAGCCTTGAAGACCTGGGCAACCTCCAGACTCTGGGTCTCACTGAGGGTCTGAAGGTGCTGATCATGTGTGCTTCGTGGACTCCCCTGATCCTGAGACATGACGACCCTTGTGGGTGGCAGTAGGCAGGAGTGTGGACAGGAGGGCAAGCAATAAAGAATCACTGCCTAAGGGATAGACAAAGGGTGTAAATGTCCTCAGCTGGTGAACTCAACTGTAGTGCCTCTGATGGAAGCCACTGCCTATAGACTTCTCCTGACAGCAATGTTATAGAGCCTCACAGGTCTGTTACTCCGGTTTCTGGGTCTACCAAGAACCTGAAGGATGAAGTGAGAATTCTCAGGGTGCAGCTAGCCAACCCAACAAGAGAATTTTCAGGTTCACAGAAGACACTTGTAGTTGGGCTCAGTAGAACTCCTTTTGGTTTGAGGAGGGTAATATCATCAGTTGATGCACAGAAGTGCCAGTAGCTTGGCATCTGATAGAGCCTGTGTCACTTCCCCTGTGGTAACGTGAGGCTGTGCCCCCAAGACCAAAGTCAAATCTCTAATGACAACTGAGAAGGAAGTGTCAGGTACTTCTTCCAGTTACCCAACCTGGAGTTTACTCGGGTTGACAGCAGGATCTAGATTCCGTGAGAGCCACTGTGCTGGTGTGGGTAGTCCCCTCAGTTATTTAGGTGCCTTCCCTTGAATTCAGGCAGGTCCTGGGTGGGATCTGTTTTTTGTTGTTGTTAACCTAGTGTTTCCCCCTCAGACAAAAGCTTCTACCTCCCCAAGACCCTGGGGAAGGTAGTGAGGTATCACCTCCACCTAACAGCTTTACCCATACCCTCTTAGGGCTGACAAAATTACAGTACTTGAGTCTTCATAATCCCTACTCTTCTGCAGTGGGTGGCCCTCAGTTTTCATTCACGCTCCTTGACTTGGTTAGTGATGAGGTATGCTAACTAATGCCACACTCTCCACCTTCAAGAATACCTCATCTCCCTCAGTTGCCTGAGAAGGAAGTGATAAAGAACACTACCTATCTCCAATTACCGGGGGTTCACAGTGTTATTAACAAAGGCTAGATATTGTGAAGCTTTCTTTGTTCTTGTGTGGACAGACTGTGGACCTTACTTAAGGTCCTTAGTGTGACTTTTCACAGATCCTAGCGTCCTCTGTCTACTAAAGTGATATGACACAAGTACACTGATCAAGAACCTCATAGGACAGAAACTCAAAAAAGAAGACAGTGGGTACTTGTCATCTGATCCCTGCCCAAGGATCCCTGGGCTGAAAAAGTTATCAGGGCTTTTTGGTGACAGATATCCTGGAGTGGATTCCTACTGGTCCTTACTGTGCGCCTCTATGTTAACTCCTTGCCCTTCTTGGACACCCAATCCAATGCTTATCTGAACCTTCTGTTTTCATTTCAAGACCACCACCTCCACAAGACCCCAGTGTATGAAATAAGCAGGACATGCCTCTGTGGAGACTACTCCATTCTGGGGTGTGTTCCCATCAGCCTCACTTAAGGTCCTTCCCTTGACTAATGGAAGCATCTGGGACCTGACATCACTTCCTTAGACCAAAACCTTTGTTATCCTGAGTTCCCTGAACAGGAAATCAGAAGATATCTCAGCTTGACAACCCTGGCCACAGTCTGTCTCAACTGACAGCAGGGCTAAGCAGGGCTACGTTCCTGTCCCCATTATCTGGGATGGGTGGTTCCCTGAGACCTCACTCAGGGTCCTTACTTTGACTACTGGTTGGGCTCAGTCCCCACCTTATGATAGCTAATGCCACTCCTGCCAGAAAAAAAGAAAAATCTCATCTCCCTGTGACAACTGTAAAGGAAGAGATTAGACATCTCTCAGTCTTAGGTCTGTGTCTTCACCTAGCCTCCCGGGACCCCTTATGCACCTACCCCTATATTGACTTGAGGCTGCTATTCAGGCCATGACACTCACTTCCTGAGACCCCTGAAGATGAAGACAGTATGGGAATTCTTACCACTTCTGCCTTGGACTTCCAAGGGCTGAACATAGAAGCAGAGTGGAGCTCATGAAGGTCCAAACTGTACTGGAATGGCTGTCTCCTTCATTTATACTCAATTTGTCTGCAATTTGGCTCCTGGCACTGTGAGACACTCCTCCTCTCTGCTGGCCTGATGTTCCCTCCTTATGCTAAAGATTCACCTCAGTGACCACCAAGGAAGATGTGAAGGGACACTTCATCTAGATACCTGGCCTCCCATGACTGACACCATGGGTGGAGATTGTGGGGCCACCTGTGTTCTGGGGTGGGTTCTTCTCTGAGTCCTAAGTCCACATCCTTACTTTGAATCCTTCAAGCACCCAGGAATCTTCCCTCTGATGGCCTTACTTAGCTCCTTCAAACCAAGGCCCACACCTGCACAAAACCAAAAAGGCTGACATGAAGTTGTCTGAATGGTGGACCCCCGTATCAGGGGTCTCTAAGGGTTGACCAAAGGGGCAGGGAACAGCCCCATGGTAACACTCTGTTTCAGAATACGTGGTCCAGATCTTTTTCATGGCCTGGAACTTCTCCTTCTGACTTCAGTTTTCCCTCACAGTAAGACCTCCTTCTCACTGACCATGGAGGATGTGTGGGTGTCTCATCTGGCTATCTCTGTTTGGGTCTCCCAAACATTCTCTGTGACCTGTGGGTCTACAATTTTATGTAGTGTATTTTTCCCTTCAGACAGAACTCAATGAAACCTGCCAAGGCCTGGCACTCCTTCTGCTGGCCTGATGTAATCTGCTCAGACAAAACCTTGACTTCCCTAAGACTCCAGGAGAAAGTTAGCAGTCTCTTCAGTTTGATACCCCTAGGGTGAGTCTCCCAAGGAGGGGAAAAGCTCCTTGGATCCTTCTCTGTCATCAGTTGATAATCCCATAATTCTCACACGGAGTCCCCACACTAGAAACTAGCTGGTAATGTGCTCCCTCCAGTCGGCTAAGTAATGCTGCTCCCATCCAATCAAGACTTCCCCTCTAGGAGACATCCGCAAAGGAAATGATAGAATACCTCACAAACGGACACCCAGAAATGACAACATGACCTAGACACTGTGGTACAACCTCTTTTGTGGAGACTGCAGAACCTTAAAACTCACTCAGGGTCCTCACCTAGACTCCTGCAAGGCCTGAGACTCCTTCCTCTGCCGACATGACACTGCCTATATCAGACTAATGCTTCACCTCCCGCAGACTCCACAGGCGGAAGTCAATAGCTGACACTTCTGGCTGCCTTTGCCCCAATCCTTGCAGGGCTGATGGACTGGCCGGCCGACACTCAGTGTGTCCGCCAAAGTTCTATGGTGAGTGATCTCTCAGTACTCACTCAAGGGCTTTTTTCTTTTCTTTTTTTTTTTGACTCTCGGCAAATCTGAGGACTCTTACTCTTGCCCAAAAAGGCCTTCATCTCAATCAGATTCCCCAGGGAGAAATGTGGGCTAGATTCAGCCTGAAAGTCAAGCTCATGGCCTCCCAGAATTGACTGCAGGGCCCGGGGCTCTTATCTGTGGGGCCCTCTATTCCCTTCAGTCTCAGTTAGAGTTTTACCTTGACACCTGGCAGTGCCGGCAGCAAGTCGTTCCTCTGCTGACTAGTGTGCACCTTCCTCAGATCAAAGAAGTCACGTCCCCAGACCGGAAGAGGAAGTCGGGGGCGTCACATCCAGTTACACCTGCTGGAGGCCTCCCAGGGCCAACAAAGGGGCGGGGTGGAAAGCATGAAGGCCCTGTTCACTCTGATATGGAATATGTTGTTCATTTACTTAGGATATTGTCTAATTGTGAATAGCCTTGGTTCAAATGCTCTTTACTTGGAGGACGTTTATCTGTTTTTTCTATCAACAAATGTTAACTTGTAAAAATATTTTGAATAATTTCAAATCTTTTTGGATCTTTTGGGTGAGCTTCCATAAGACACTATTTTTATGTTCTGCACATGTACCCCAAAACTTAAAGTATAAGAAATAAATTTTTTTAAAAAAAGAAAATTTTTAAATAAAATAATTCATCTTTTATTAAAAAAAAAAAACCAGACACTATTTTTTTTCTCTGAATATATAGTACAAGTGGCCTTCAAAACTAACTGATTTTCAGACTGTTTGAGGGTAACTTGATCTTTGACTACAGTTTCAGTTTGTGTTGTTTGATTATTTTTCTGTATGTTTTATGAACCTATTTATCCACTTATATTTTGCTAAAAATTAGTTCATTTCACTTCGGCTTTCAAATGGAAGGACATAATATTTATATTAAAATCGTTTATGATACAAATTCTTAAACACATGCAATAGTAGAAATGACAGTACAATGAACCAGATATACTTGATACTTCCCATGTCATCAGTAGTTAATGGTAGCAGCTAAAATTCTACTACAAGTAGAAATCTTTCCTCATCGACCACTTTGTTACTCTGAGAGAACGGTATACAGTTATTTTATATTTGAATCTCTTCTGCACCTATATTTTATGTAATGTCATTGACTATCATATTTTCTGCTTTTTTGTAATTAATAATATTTATACAATTACGCCATATAATTTTTTTTCAAATAACTAGAGCAAGAAGGAGAAAATTGCTGACCCCTCCAATTTCTGTAGACTCTAATCTCCTACTGTTGCCTCTTGTTGCAGAACCCAGTTGGCATCCAGATGTGGGGGAGCCTAGGGATTGAGAGTCAGGCTCTGCATAGTACAGAAAGAGCAGAGCAAGAGTAAACAATGGATCTGAGACAAATAGGTTTAGGATTGGCATGCCACTTAACAGATTAAATGACAAAAATTATATGCAAATTTATAGAAAAATGGTTCAAAAAATCACTCACCTATTATTAAAAAATATATTTTCTTAAACTAGATCAAGGACATCTATAAGAGAAACCTAGAGTAAAAATCATACTTCATGTAAAAATATTAAAAACTTTTTTTTTTTTGAGATGGAGTCTCACTCTGTTGCCTAGACTGTAGTGCAGTGGTATAAGCTCAGCTGATTACAACCTTCGCCTCCTGGGTTCAAGCAATTCCCCTGCCTCAGCCTCCCCAGTAGCTGGGACTACAGGTGCACGCCACCATGCCTGGCTA